ATATATATATAGATTTGTATATAATAGAAGGACGCTTATGTACAGCGGTGAACTTTACTAGGCTGTAACGGTAACAGTAATGGTAAAAAAACTAGGTTGCTGTAAAAAAACTAAATAGCCGGGTAAATTTGAAACAACCCCGAAGATTTCTCAGCGGGAATCCGAGCGCTTGAAGTGTTCGATATTCTTTTTAATTTTTTTTTCATACCTAGCATAAAAATAAAATATTTTTAACCATGATTTGCCTGGAAGAGATCGTTGTTTAGTAACTCATTAAATTTTGGTATGTGATTTTGGATTATGTGGTGTCTAAGAGTATAAATAAAATAAAATAAAATCCTTAAAACAGAATCTTTTATAGATTTTTTTATTACATGGCCGACCCATTGCCACTTGGGTTGCCAGTTGGACCATATCAGTTATGTACTCCATTTCTACTACGGATGAATATTTTTATTTCGAAATATATCACGCAGAAAAGCTTAGAGCCGAAACCGTCGTCAAAGCTGAGCAACTTTGAGCTTCCTTGTACGGCCAGCGGTTAAGGGCTACGTCTCATATACGTATTTTATCACTGGCAACTCGTACTGTTTGTACACTCTTATTTTAAGCCAACTTCAAAAAGGAGGAGAAAAATTACCGATTTTTTATTTAAACTTTCAGGTGATGATTCCGTATAAACTTAAAGAGAAAATTCCACATCTAATGATGGAAAAATAGGGGATGAACTTTTAATGTGACTATTGAGACGACATTCAAGCTCTTGGTATTCCTTAGTTTAGCCAAAAGGGTCAAAAATTTGTCTTTTATTAATTAGCCAAGTTTTGAATAATACTTATAAAATATAACAAAATAACCCGGCGAGCATGAGGTTATAAAAAGTTACATCGAGAATGTGGCAGGATGGGACATACCGATAATTTAATGTACCATATTTAAGTTCTTATTATTGTTATTATTACTTTGATGGTTTTATTACGTAAAATAATGAATGATTTAATAGAATTAAATGAAAGAAGTTCTTAATTGTGAATTATTATTATATAATCATGTTTTTCATAAACTTTGTAATTATAGAAACAAAAGTTTAAGGACTTACAAAAATTTGTAATTTAACAAAAATATTGTTCTTTAGAGTGTAAATCAACTTAAAATTAAAACGTAGTAAGATCCTGCTTATAAAAAACTTATTATTATATTTTTTTTTATTTATTAAAATTTATGATTAATCACCACTGTCGATATCAGCACAATTTTCGCAAATAAATTTTTCGTATATACATATGAGCTTGGAAAAACCAAATATTCCTGCAATGCTTGTGCATATTATGTGCAATATTTAGTTTTTCTATCCTTCTTGTATGGACAATCCTGACATCTGACATATCGCCCGGGTATGTTCACATGTCTAGGCGAGGGCTCTAATAGAATATGCTTTTTTGATTTTCTTGAATGTAGGTGTTTGTAAATCATTGATAAGCCCAAATTTCGAATGAATTCCGTTCTCTTGATTGTGACGTTTTTGTTTGCTCGATATATAATGCAAGCATTGATAGCTGCCATGTTCAAGACACCAGAGAATAAAGTCGTAGCCCATCGTTTACTGTTGCGACTAACATAACACAGTATAAATGAATGAACAAAAAATTTATATACTAAAATCATCAAAAAAACTAATAAAACAATCATAATTCATGATCAAATCATTACCTACGTAAAAAAATACGTCAAAAATGAGGCAGGGTATAACATACCCGAGACAGCGCACGAATATACCGGCCAGTGTACCACGCCACACGGCGATCACGCCACTAACCCGCCCCGCGCTCCCAGCACTCCAGCTACTGAGCGAGTTAGAGTTTCCAGGCGAGAATTTTAAAAAATACACTACCTTGAAATTTTATCAGGGTGTGTGATACCCTGGCTCATGCTCGCCGGGATAAAATAATCTCGTTTTTCTAATTTAGTGGTAATTCTATTTTATACAGCGAATGGCGTAGATGTAAATTCTTATATAATTTACGAGTAAAATGATAGGTCGTCCTCTTCCGATGCTGGCCTCCAATCCCGCCTTGCCTTAACTCCCACCGACCAAACGGCAACCGAAGAGGCCGCTCTTCCTTCGGCTGGCTTCTTAATCCTGCCGCGAAGGCCCTACCACAACGGAGCTCTGAGCCACGGGTCTTACGTCCTCAATCAGGGATAAACCGGATAAACCGTGGCCCTAGACATTCAACTCCGTACAACGACTCCGTTTCTTAAAAGAAAGGTTGAAGACTAAGATTACGGGTCCTTAAGGAAGGGTCTCGGTCTTGACGTCAGTCATGCACCTAATGGACTGTATTTTTACTACTATTAGGGTGAACACTGAAGTATTCTTCAAATAAAACATTGATTTTTCGTAAATCCCCCTTGGAAATGCGATATTGAAACTTTCACTATTTTTATAACTTTCACTTTACTTTTCCTGATTTTCCTTTTTCTTTCTTGATTTAGAAATGGAAACTAGCTAGCGCGTACTTCCCGAACTTCCTGATACTACCGAACGCGTTGCAAATTGATTGCCATTTTGATTTAAGCTAATCGATGTTTTTCACTATCACATTTTAATTTATTACCACATGTCTTTATTGCCCATAATATTATCTTAAAACAATTATGTTTCACATGAAGCACAATACAAACGTATTACAAAAATTATCAAAACATTAACATTTCCTAAAGAATTAATAAAATATTAAACAAAATATCACATTTTACAAGCTATTTCTTAGAGGCATAAATCTTAAATGTCGAATATAAACTTTGTTAATACAATTCTCATTGCCAATTTCACATGTCAAAACAATACAACAGTTTAATTCACGAATTAAAACTTTTAATCACATATAAAATGAATTGAATTTTCTTATACAATTCTATTTTTATTTCGTTTTTTTATCAATAAAATTAAAAACCTTTAAAATACTTCTTAGCTTGTTATTTTATGAAACCTATCAAAAATATTTATTACATGCATTTTCACACGGAGACAAACAACATGACACGTAATTTTTATATACAAAGATAATCAAGTTACAGCCTATATGTATACATCCCGTTGCAGGGTATAGAGCTCCTCTAATTTCTGAGTAGGTTATAGAGTAAGGAAATGTGCACTTCAATGCTCTAATGCGTGTTAGACACCTTTATATATCTTTGATTTTTTTTAATTCTTAGACAAGTTGATTTCCCCACGGCGTTTTCTTTCAACATCAAGCACGTGGTAAATCAGCACTTAAAATTGAAATACATTGATTGGTGCCGTAGGGATCAAACCTGGGTTGCCCGCGTAGTGTGAAATTTACAGCAAGCGCTTAGTACCTGAGCTACCAAGGTATTTTATAAAGTTTCATGGGCAAATAAAAAATATTTGCTACAATAATATTTCGTTGCACATATTTAAAATTTAAACAATATCATAGTTTAGTTACTAGACGTTGAATTTTCTCCAAACCTCAACTGTGGGCTATTCATTGAGTTCAGGTCAAACCAACTGCGAAGAAACTAGGTTTTCTTGCAAAAATGCGGCGGTAATTCACGCCGGGGTAGCTTCTTACCTTATATAAGGCGCAAGTCCGGTCATGTATTGAGTACTGTTGTCAGACTGCCTCGTTGGTCTAGTGGTTGTAGTAGTGCGACTGCTGATCATGAGGTCCTGTGTTCGAATCCCGGGTCGGACCGAAAAATCTATTATTGAGTTTTTCTGTCAAGAAATTCTCAGTAGCTGCCCGAAGTCAGAAAGTTGGCGGTGTCTCACCCCCATGCCTCGGAAAGCACGTAAAGCCGTTGGTCTTGCGCCTGATCTCTCTCCGGTCGTGTCGGTTTACCGTCCCATCGGATTATGAGAGTGAAGGAATAGAGAGTGCACCTGTGTTCACTTGCACTTGGGTACTATAATCCTGTCCTGCGCCGATGGCTAATCTCCGTTGAGGCAGGCCGCTGTGGCCAAAATTCGGTCTGGAGGACGTTCTTCTGGAGGACTGTTGTAGGGGTGCTGCAAAATTCCACCTAGCAACGTTGGACTAAGCGGAAAGACGTGCTAAGAGACTCATTGGTAACCTTGATTTGATTGAAATCAATCTTGTCAGCCTCGAGCACAGGCGCAGAGTAGCCAGCCTCTCAGTATTCTATAGTATGGATTTCGTTGCGTAAGCGCAGGAATTTAATTATAGCGACTTTAATTAGAGCGAGGAATTTTATTAGAGCGCTTTAATTCCTCCTCCTTCTCTTAAATTTAATTTAATTCCTTCTTTAATCTTAACTTTAATTCCTCCCTCTTCTTTCTAGCACCGGATTCACCACTTTGTCGGTCAGCGGTTTCCACTACTATGTTGTCGATATTCTACGCATTAGAACCAAACGGTTTGCTTTGTCTTTTGTAATGCGTACAGAACTGGAATAATTTGTCGGCGTCTGTTTTTCTGTCCGAATACAATCTGGTCGTTTTCAAAACAAGAGTGAATATAGGCTTACCACCATGTGAGATTGTGGCCAAGCACTCGCTTATAATGAGTAGAAGAAACCATATTATTTCCAATTTATTATTTGAACAGAAATAAAAATATTTCTACGGTTTGAAAACCTCCTTTGTTTTTAAAGTTGATTAAAATGAATAACACAAAAAATTAAAGGAATTATAAAAGGAATATAATCATTCCGTCCGCAACAAGCGTTGAGAGTGGTACCCTGTATTAACGACTTCCTTAATTATCTAATTGTATGTACACAAAAATCGATCATAGTGCGATATTTATTAGTGTCGTGATTACTGAACTAAGATTGTAGTTCATTCTAGTGGATTGAGTGAAAAACAATAAATCAGCAATTGCCGTCTCGTTCTCACATAGTATCGTCGGACTGTGGCAGTGCGGGGACCTCGCTTCCTCACCGGTAGGCGTAAGGACAGCGCTATATTATTTTAACTCTCTCACACCTGTGTAGCTACAGATATACCTGCGATGTCTTTACAACGCACACCACCGAATGTGTTTTCATCGGACGGTGATATTCCTGCATCGGTAAAGAAGATTAGCGGCGAAAGTTTTATAACTACCCGTAAACGTAAACAAATGGAAAACGATAAAAATGATACAAATATGATTAAATTTGAAGAAAAATTTGATAATCAAATGCAAATATGGAATAAAACCATTAGCGATTGCATCGCAAATAGCATTGCCACCGCGGTAAATACAGCCCTAAAGGGCGAGCTATCGAAGATTACCTCTGCGTTATCAGAACTTAATGATAATGTATTGAAACTTAACATGGATACTATCAACCTTAATAAATCATTGCACGAAGTTAACACCCGACTGTGCGAAATTGAGAAATCACTTAGCTTCTCAAATGAACGACAGGACTTATTTGACAGTCGACTGAAAACTGTTGAACAGAATATATCACAATATAACGGCTCTAAAACTCAAATACAACTACTTGAGAACAAAATACATACCATGGAGCAGCAAGCAAGACAGTGCAATGTCGAAATAGCTAATATCCCCACAGGAGGTGAGAATCTAATCAGCATAATGTGTGTTTGGGCATCTATTAGCATTTCTTATAAGAATGTTATAGTAAAGTTCCAAACACACTGTAATTGCCCTGCGTGCTACAAAAGGGTTGAATTCAACATCATTGTCCGTACCTGGCCAGCCTGCCACCATTTACGTTAACGAGCATTTAACGTTGAATAACAAATTGTTGTTTCGTCAGTGCCGAGCAGGCTGCTAAGAAAAACGAATATAAATATGTATGGGTTAAACATGGCACCGTTCTGGCTCGCAAGACGGATACTTCACCCGCTATCGCAATCAGATCCCTCCAGGACATCGCACGAATCAAATGAACAACAGCCGGATGATAACAGGCAGCATTGCAACGTCATAAACAGGTTTAAAAATAAATTATTTACGCCTACATATGTAAACCTAACCAACTTTTATCATGATATTATGTGTCACAAGAAAATATATATTCCCAAATGGTTAAGTCAACGTCCCACATATTATATTATTATAAGTAATCACACTTTTATAAGTAAATATTGTTATTACAATAGACTAGATACATGTGGTGTAATTTTTTTGTACCTTCGTGTCTCAGACTTAAAGTGCACTCTTTTAAATTTAATTAATATGCTATTAGTATTATATGAAAGACATACACTTTGGTTAAATTGTATACATATCTGATCTGCTTAATTACTCTTCCAAAATTCTAATTACTGTTATTATTTCCAATCATAATACTCACGGCATAACATTAATATCTATTCAGGTACGCATAATTGTTTTTTATCTGTTTTTATTATCGATATTTAAATTAATTAATAAACAAAGTCCATGTTCCTACAATTCAACGTGTGCATTTATACTGAATATCCTACTCTGTACCCACTGTGGCTCTAACGATTTGTATGCAATACCATATATTTTTCGATACAAAATTCAATAACATAAATAACAACGTATTGTCAGTCTACTATCAAAATTGCCGCGGTTTGAGAACTAAATTAAATACTATTTACATGAACATATTATCACATAATTATGATGTTATAATATTAACCGAGACTTGGTTACATGATTGCATTGTAAGCAATGAATTTGTGGATTCTCGCTACAACGTGTTCCGTTGCGACCGAGATCGCACCGAAACAAAGCGTCACGATGGTGGCGGTGTGTTGGTGGCTGTGCTGCACTCTCTGTGTGCAGTGCGCTGCGTGCCCGCACTCCCCCGCTGCCCCTCTCGATATCCCACCCATTATATATCATATTCTATTAGAATTTCGCATCGGTAAGTCTCATTATTTATTAAGCGCGAATTACATACCACCCGGTCTAGATTCTGATATATATTTTACTTATTTTAATAAACTACAAGAGATTATACAGTTAAATGGATATGATAACTATTATTTAATTGGCGATTTCAATTTGCCTTGTCTTGACTGGTATCTAGATGATACTCAAGCAAAACTTCTAGATTTAAGCAGTATTACGCCACCATATTCTCACTTAGTAAATTTCATGTCCGTCATGGACTGTATACAAGTTAATACTATTAAAAATAATATGAATAGGTTATTCGATTTATGCCTAACTAACGTATACAACAGTAAAACCTTTTCTGCGCCTATCACTCTAGTCCCACCTGACGTACATCATCCTCCTTATTACCTCTTAATACCAATTGATAATAATTTATTCAAAGCCATGCCAACGAATCCACGTTTAAGATATTGTTACAAGAATGCTAATTATAAACAAATCAATAAAGATATATTAGAAATTAATTGGTGTGAACTATTTTAAAATAAAACTGCCGAAGAAAGTGTTAACGTTTTCTATGAAAATATATTTGATCTTATACGTAAACACGTTCCCTCTAAACGGGATTCCAACTCAAAATTTCCAGTATGGTTTACCCCTGCATTGATACACATATTTAAGAATAAAAACAAAGCTTGGATTAAGTGGAAAATATATAAAAACAAATCTGATTATTCTACATTTTCAATGTATCGGGATAGGTTTAGGAAAGAATCATTGATTTGTTATAACAAATATATGAAATCAGTAGAAGACAGTATTCCTAAAAATATTAAATACTTTTGGATTTACATAAAAAATCGTCAAAATCAATCAGATATTCCAAATAGTGTTCACTATGACGGAACAGAGGCGGATAGTCCTGAGGGCATTTGTAACCTGTTTTCTTCCTTCTTTCATTCAGTTTTCCAGCCTACTAATGTATCTGACTCCTTCTGTATTGACCATATAGATGATATAGACAATGGTATGCTCAATAACACCATTATTAGTGACATACAGCTATCAGAAGCAGATGTCTTAAAGGAACTAAAGGCACTAGATATTACTAAAGGCGCAGGCCTTGATAACATTCCCCCCTATTTTCATTAAAAATACTGCCGTAACCATATGTAAACCGTTGGTTATATTATATAATAAATGTCTTAGAGAGGGTATATTTCCAGCTATGTGGAAATCAGCCAGGATAACACCAATACATAAAGGAGGCATAAAAAGAGATGTAGTCAATTATCGTCCAATTTCAATCCTTCCCACTTTATCTAAACTTATGGAGAGGCTGGTGCGCAATAATATCTATCCACTATTGCATAGGACCATCCTTCCACAACAACATGGGTTTGTTCGTAAACGATCTACTATCACTAATCTTATTGTTTATACTTATGAATTGTTTGACAATATAGACGCTAATACGCAAACCGATAGTGTCTATACAGATTTTCGGAAAGCGTTTGACCGAGTGGATCATAGAATACTGCTAGAAAAACTTGCTTTCAACGGGATTCGCGGAAATCTTTGGAGGTGGTTTAAGTCGTATATAACATACAGAACACAAAAAGTGGTCATCAATGGATATGAATCAAGTACGGTTATTATAACGTCTGGTGTGCTACTATCTCTACATCTATCCTTGGCCCCCTATTATTCCTTCTGTTTATTAACGATATAAATAATTGCTTTCAGCATTGTAATTTCTTATTATATGCAGATGACCTAAAAATTTATCGAACTATACATAATTCTAATGATCACCTGGAGTTCCAGGAGGACCTGAATAGATTTAACAATTACTGTAGCATTAACAAACTACAGCTAAGTCTCGATAAATGTAAAGTTATTACATTTACTAGAAAACGAGCGTGGAGTACACATAATTATTCCATAGGCGGCCACAATCTTACCAGAGTACAAACTATTCGCGATCTTGGAGTCACATTGGATACTAAGTTAACACTTGATGCACATGTTGATAACATATGTAGTAGGGCTTATAAAATGTATGGTTTTGTACTCCGAGCCAGTAATGACTTCGTACGTCCTAATACATATTTACATATTTATAAGACCTTAATCCGTTCACAATTAGAATATGCTGTTTGTATTTGGGATCCTTTGTATATAAAATACTCAGATAGCTTAGAAAGAGTGCAAAAGAAATTTCTGCGTTGCTTGCACTATAAATGCTGTCATAACTATCAGTCATAGCACCAACTATTGCAGAGATATAAACTTTTAGACTTGAAGTCTAGGAGAATACAAATGCAAGCCATGCTTTTGTATGACATTTGCCATAATAGGTACGACTGCTCTGATATTGTCAATAATATTAACTATAGAGTGCCTACTAGATCGTACATGCGAGCTTGTCGTTCGAAACACCTATTTGCCACACGAACATCACGCACTAACGCAGGTATGCGTGCACCTATTCGTCGTATACTAAATTCTTATAACCGCAACTTCAGTCATATTGATATTTTTGTAAATAGGGTAAGCGTTTACAGAAACTTAGTAATTAAGGAACTGCATGACACTGTATACTACACACAACAGGGAAAAATATACAGATGAATGAAACTCTCAACCTGTAAAAACAATTCGTTCATAATGCTCGTGGTAAACGGTGTGGATGTCACAATTGTCAATAATGTATAGGTTAACACTATTATAACCATTTGTTATTGTGATGTTGTTTGTTTACCCAATAAATTGGAAAAAAAAAGGAATTACGGTATAAGAGTTTATACATAGCATATAATCAACATTAAATGCATAGTAAAAATAGAATAGTAGGTCAACAAAGTCTCAAACAAAGGTGAATGCGGAGGGCGGCGGTGGCCGTCCCAGTCTCGGCCCGACCTCTGCGACTTAGCAAGTGTCGTTGTGTGCGTGCTGTGGCTCGTGCGTACGAGTCCGTACTGCCAAGTGCCAGGCACGGACACATATTAGCGGCTTTCGGTACATTTCTTATACTATTCTGTTTTTACTGTGTTAAATGTTTATTATAATTAAAAAAATATTTATATTGGCCACATTATATTATGGTTGATTTTAAGTGGTAGAGCCATGCTGCAGTTATATTAGTATTATAGTAGTAGACACGAATGACTCGGTCAGCTCGACCGAGAAGCGACCACGCTCTCACAGAATACCAGCGTCAAATAGCAGCGTAACGCTGCTGCGTTTCGTTTGGTGAGTGTAGAGAACCGGAGACCTTTTTTACTGGAAACGAGGCATTCCATCTTAGTCCTCATGGGTGACGACGCATCTGAATTTTGATTCATAATCGAGGATACCATCAGGCGGACCGTGTGCTTGTTTGTCACCCTCCGTCTTCTTACACCACTTTCGCCAAACCGCAAGGCAGTTTGTTGGAGAATACATCAACCACTATATATAACTACCGTATTTAATATTTTAATCTTGGATTAAAAAATTCAAATAGAATGGATAAATTTAAAATTAGCGCCGTTACTACTGTTACACACCTAATTATATTTAAACTTATTAATATTTTAAGTTATGAATGATTAGACGTATAATATTAATGTAAGACACATTTGTCTTCAGAAATATCTCATTAAAAATCTTGTTACTAGATATTTTCTTGTCCTCTTGACATAATAGTTGTTAACTTTATGCTCAAAGTATTTTTTTCGAAAAGTAATTCTAATATTTTTGCTAAATGTTCGAACTGTTTTAAATTCTAGAGATTTTATATGTATATATGATCTTTTACAATTAAATACTTAAGTTTTATATGTATAGTTAATATTCCAAAATGTTTAAATAAATTATTATAGTTTCCTTCTACGTTTTACCATTTTTTCTTGGTTTTT